GCCCCCCCCCCCCCACTGGTGACTCTCATGTATCATCTATGCCCTAAACCCAGTTCTCCAGCTGTCCAGACTAAGCCAGCTACGAGGTTTAGCCAGGGGACAAGCAGCTGGGTGCTGGAAAGGGGACTGACGCCTGGAGAACATTACCTACATAAAATGCTGATACACTTAAGTCCCAACATGTGAATTAATTCTGAGGTCACCATGGCTCTCAAACCACAGCACTTCAGTCAATAGTGCTGGTACCTTTCCCAGCATGAAGCCACGTGGCCTGATCCCTCAGACCAGCCCAGGAGACGGAAGGTCTCTTTCCTTAGGGCTCCTGGGGTTGGACTAGGCAGGCAGCAGGCACGGAGGGTTACATGTCCCAGAGGAGCCCTGCCTCCTGCTCAGTGAGGACTCGACATACATCTGACATAGCAGACAGGCTTGTATCAGGCTGCAAATGCATACGCTCCCTTGTGAGCTCTGCATCTGACCAGTGTAGTCTATGTAGCTCTGCTGCTATGTGCTGTCAGAGCCTCCCCTTGCAGATGCAGGTATGAGGCTGCTACCCAGGGAAAAATATTAATACGTATCAAGAAAAACGAAGCTCTTGGCTAATAGGCTCGTCAGACTTGCTCTCGTGTCCTGCTGGAGCACCCAGGCAGAGCTCACACCCTGGGGGTCTGCGGTTCTCAAGCAGCCTGTGTCCCACCTGAGGCTGGGTGGGGGCTCAGTGAGCCCATTCCCCCCATGACTGGATGCGCAGTCTCTTGGCACTTACTCTGCTGGGGCGACCAGCTGCTCATCACTACAGAGCCACATCAAATCCGCATTGAGAAGCCCCTTCCCACGGCTTCTCCAGGAGATACAGCCACATTTCTAGTGTAAGGGCAGACAGTAGCTCCTGGACATGGATCAGCCGAGGGGCACAGCAAGCTCCCAAAAGAGGAAGCGGGCAGTAGTGGGCCACACTGCAGGATGAACTTCCACACCTGAGACGGGGCCCCTACTAGCCAAAGAAAGGTGCTGGACATTAATCAGTTACCAGATAAATTACTTATTAACTAGAAGGGAAAAAATGCTTAAACCCATAACAGAAGTACAGAAGATAATAGTGAGAACACCACATTGCCAATGCCAGAACAGGCTTGCTTCCTCTTCCTAATCTCTGGTCCCTGTGTCTAAAGACGGTCCCAGTTCAGAGACAGGCAACGCAAAAGATGAAAGGCCTGGACACAGTCTGATATGGGAAGCATGACAGACTTGGAGAGCAGGCAAAGAAGCTAGCGCCCAAGACAGGCACAATACCATAACATCTAGCAGAGGAACGATAAGTTCAGGGACGACCTATTTCCACTTCCAAAGTTCAGACATCAGGAGAAAAGTTCTAAGACACAAACTGCCCACTCGGTGCTTAACTACGATGTTCCTCATGAACTGCATAGGCTCCAGCTGCCGACTGCCCCTGCCACGCCAGCCGGGCCACGTACCTGAGATGCTGCTACTGGCCAGCAGAGCCACGCTGACCGTGCCTGGTGTCCGGAAGGCGCACGAGAAACTCCAGTTCCAGCCACGGGACTAGAGGCAATCACCACAGCAAAGTCATTTGGCAGCAACATTCACCAGACCAGGCTGCACTGTAAGAAGATAAAACAATTCTACCAGAAGGCAAAATACACAAGCCAGAAACAGTAACACCCCTGTGGCGCAGGTTTGCTGTGAAGGCCTTCCTAGTGCAATAAGCATATTACTGTTCTGCACAAAAGAGCAGGCGCTTCTTTTCAGGAAGGAAGTGGGGAGGAGGCTTTTCTAGAGCCAAGTCATTGTGAGCACGGCTACAGCACCCCGGCCTGCAGCAAACAGAAGCAGTCCACGCCTCTGGGAGCCCCTGGAGAAGTTGCCAGGGAGCTATGCAGCGAGCCCACAGATGCCCCCTCAGCACAGGGTGCAGGGTGGCTGAAGCCTTGGCCAGCAAGTGCTTTACCATCCTCAGGAAGGAGGAGGTGTCCTAAAGGGGCAGCGGTTCCTGGTGCACAGCTGATGAGTGCAGTGAGAGGGCTTTGGCATCCTCAGGATGTCGGCTGGAAGCCCTGGGAGGGGTTCCCATAGCACCGGGGGCTGCCTGGCTCTTGTCTGGCCTCCCCAGGCCATGTCCTGCTGACGAACCTGCCCAGCAGGGAAAAAGATTTAGAAACCCAGTCAAAGTCTTGCCCTGTCACCATGTGGCTGTGGCAAGTCCAACAGTTGTTGCGTAGTGACATGATGCAGAGGCGTGCCACACCTTCGTGAACGTCTTCTTGTGCCACACGGCTGCAAGCCGCCTTAGCCGTGCGCACGTAGAAAACCTTTCGCCAAAGCAAAGCTGTTGCTTAGCTTGCAAATTACACGGACCCTTTTGTTGAACAGCCTTGGGTACGTGGAAGCCACCAGCACTCGGTACCGCCCTTGCGAGGCTGTTCCTATGGAAGCTGCCCCAAGACCGAGGGGGAGGGAGGGGGCCGGGCAGCGGGCCAGCATCCTGTGCCAGGGCTCCAGTGCCCGGTCACCACGACACAAATCAATCACTGAATCCTCCATAGCAGAGGCCAAACTTTTCTTCTTTCCCCATGGCGCTGAGTTGGGGGAAGGGAGGGCAGGGAGGTCAATCTACAGGCACCATTTGGATGGGGGCTTCTCTTCCTTACCTTTCCCCTTGCTGGGAGAGCCTATTACTTCCTTTTGTTCCACCCCTGGTTTTCTTTTGATGTGGCAGACAAAGGGTAATGATGTCTATTAGCTCACCACCTGTGCAGCCATAAATATTGGAACAACTTAAAACACTTTTATAGTGGCACAAATGAGACCTAAGGCGACATCTGTTCCCACCAAGACGCCGGTTCACAATACAGAACGAATTCCTGAGAGCACAGCTCATGTAACCAGTGCTTCGGCATGTTCCTTCTCCGGGCTGGAATTAAAATATCCCTTGCACAAAGATCATGGGAGCTGCCTGAACTCTCACCACCTTTCCGGTTTCAGCGTAATGATGTGGGAATCTGTGCAGCCTTCTCTGCACTAGGACTCCCTAGCTCATGTAGTTTCCTACCAAGTCTCTAAATTAGACACTGGAAAATCAAGAGCAGGTAACAAGCTGTGTGATACACATCGTTGCCCAGGTGTTTTTCAGGCCAGGACAGTCTTTTTAGCAGACTACTTCCGTTCAGGAAAGACTCCTTTTGGAAAAGCAGTCGCCTCCCCCATTGCACTCTCCACAGCACTGCTTTGAAAGAATATGGTGGGCACTTGAAGCTGTCTGGAAAGAGCGAGGCAAGGGATGGTGGCAGCCTGCAGGACACATTAGACCTCAGCAACCATTTCTCAATGTGTGGATCTGACCCATGCGGTCATCTCCAGCCCAGGGAAAATCCTGGCAAGTTTCCTTGTGCCATCCAACCAGACTGCTGACAATGGGAAGATCTACTTTTCAGGAGCACCACGTACCCCTCAATATCTGAACCCGATGGCTGCAGAACAGGAAGAAACAGGAAGTGACTTGTTTGCTGATTCAGGAAGATAAAAGCAAAAGGGAGGAAAATCTGTTTCAGGAGCAGGGTGTCCTGTTCAGTGCCAAGGCAAAGCTATTGATATGCAATTTAGCCGTGGTTCCTAAGCTTCCTGCTAGACTCTTCGGTGCTCCTAACCTGTCTCTTCTCTTGTGCACAGACCGCAGCAGCCTCAGGTCCGGACTGCAGGCAAGGAGGGAGAACAGTTTCATAGATTTCATAGACATTTGGGCTGGAAGGGACCTCAGAAGATCATCAAATCCAGACCCCAGCCCAAAGGGCAGGAAGTCAGCTGGGGTCATAGGATCCCAGCAAGATAAGCATCCAAATGTCTCTTGAAGGTGTTCAATGTAGGTGCTTGAACCACCTCCAATGGCAGGCTGCTCCAGACCTCGGGCGCTCAGACGGTAAACAAATTCTGCCTTGCGTCCGGCCTGAAATGATCTTGCAGTAGTTTATGACCGTTCGACCTTGTCATCCCTTGGGGTGCTCTGGTGAACAGACATTCCCCCAGATCCTGGTGGTCACCCCTGATAAACTTATA